GTCCCAGGGGATCTGTTGCCCTCTTTCTGACCCTGAGGGCACCAGGCACACATGTGGTGCACAGACATACATGCAGGGAAATGACCCATACACATTTAATTAATTAACTAAATCAAAAGTTCAAAGTCATCTTTGCTTAAATAGTTCAAGGCCAACCGGGCTATGGGAGATCCTGTCTCAAACAAACCCAATAAACAAACAGGAAGGAAGTGATGGAGAAAGGGAGCAAGGGAGGGATATTCTATAAAGAAGGGATGCTGCCTAGCCCTCCTACTTAAGAACAAGCCACAACATTCATGGAGGGGACAGCATCCCAGTGCAGTCAAGTTCCAAAATCAGATCAGCTGATTCTGACCACTGCTCTCTCAAGACATGTCTGCTGGGGCCTCATCCCGGCATCCACCCATGTGGCTCCCTCTGACTCCTCTGTTCCAGGTCCCGCTTCTCTGGATTCCATGACACCATCCATCATTTATGTCCCACTGGGTAGCCTGCTCAGGTTTCTTGGAGTTTCTGGGGAGAGTAAGGCTAATTAATACTCCCATGCCCCACCCCGTACTGGCTCGTTTTGTGTGTCAACTTGACGAAAGCTAGAGTCATCAGTTGAGGAAATGTCTCCATGAGTTCCAGCTGTAAGGCATTTTCTCAATCAGCTCCTGCCTGGAGGTTCCTGCCCTGCCTGGATTCCTGTCCTGACTTCCTTCAGTGATGAACAGCAATGTGGAAGTGTAAGCCAAATAAATCCTTTCCTCCCCAACTTGCTTTTTGGTCATGGAGTTTTATTGCAGCAATAGAAACCCTAAGATACCCCCTCAAACACATACACACATGAACACATACACATGCATGTACATATACATACACACACATAGGTGCACATGCTTGTGTGCTTGAACTCCATGGCAGAGAAAAGTGGTTTGAAGAGAGTGGACAGAGGGAGCATGGGGACATCATTCCAGATCAGAGTGCATGTTGCATGGGGCCCCTGGGGCCCCGGGGATCATCCCATCAGCTGGGCTTGTCCTGATATCACAGGGCCCACCTGGCAGGGTGCTGGGAGAGTGAATGAGGTGACACATGACGTTCCCACCTGACACTGGGAAGCACTCACTCAACAAGCACAATAGTAAGGCCAGGACCGGTTGACCGTGTACTACACAGTAGATGCTATACAGGGCAGGGGCGGGGCTCTGTGTGTGTTATCTCCCCCTGCGCCAGGCACTGAGGGCAACGGTATAAATGAGACCATTAAGCTGTTGGATGACCCTGAGTGATGAACTGTCTGAGTCTAGCCCCTCTACATAGCCCAGGCTGGCCTCACACTTGGCATCCTTCTGCCTCAGCTGTGTGAGCAGCTGGGATCCTGGACCTGCACCACCAGACTTGGCTTCAATGCCTGTTTTTTTTTTTTTTTTTTTTTTCTTTCTTTCTTTCTGAGACCACTTGTCTTTATCAAGCCCCGGTGTTCCTGGCTCAGTTCCTGCAAATGAACAAAGCTTATTTTCTGGCCAACCCAATATTTTTTATTCCTGCATCTCATCTTTAGTCTACCACCCAGCCACTAGCCTCGCCATCCCCTCATCCGTGTTCTCCGTCGCTAAGTCCCTCCCAGCCATCTATCCGCTCACCTTACCCCACCATATGCTCACTCACTCCTGTCTCTCCATTCAGTCAAACATCCCACACTGCCCGCCTTCCCACCCATCCACTCAACCTCTTGCCCGTTTGTCTTTCTGCCAATGAGCCACTCACCTTTAAGATGTCCATCTGTCCTTCCATCTACCCACAAACGTCACTCATCCACCACCCAGCCACCCATGCCCCCAATGTATTTAGCTACCTACAAATCCACTCATCCACTCCAGATATTCATGTATCACTCGGTTCATCCATCTAGTCACCCACCCACCCCTCCACCTTCCCACTACCACCTGACAGTGGCCTAGGGCCTTGTGGATTATGATGCTTTATGTGCACGGTGTCCTGTGAGACCCCAGCGTGGTCTCCTGGGTTCTCTTCCAGGGAAGAAATATGGGTGCCACCAGAAAGTCCCCACAGGGGGAGCCTCTTTGTAGCCAGGACTTTGAAAGCCATTGACTACCAGGGTGTGGGGCCAAAAGATGATGAAATGCAGGAGAAACCAAGGCGCAGGCTTCCAGCAGAGCAATTAAAGGTAAGCTAATCTCTCCTCCCTTCCAAGGGAGCCAGGGAACTCTAAGACACACAGAGGAGTCAGCAAAAGAAGAAACCAAAGCCGCAGAGATCAAGGGCTAGCAAGAGGATGCTCCTGATATAATATATTCCTGAGAGCTCAGCTTCCTGCCCTTTAGGCCTGCTGCTTCTCCCACCTCCTCTCCTCTCTACTGCCCTTGACGAGTGCTCCCTGCTGTCCTCCTCCCTTCCCATCTCTCTTCTTAACCCACCCTCCCAGCTCCCCTATTTATCGTCCTCCCCTCTCTCTGTTTACAATGAGGAACACACTCCCAGGACGAGACCTGGTGGGGTAGTACTTCCCCTTCACCCAGCCCCTCCCCCAGACCTCCTGCTCACCTCCGGGTACCTGACCACCTCACCTCCAGACCCAGAGCGCCCTCTTCAGAACCACACGGAGGCAGTTAGTGAGCAAGGCCACTTTAATAGGCTCGTGTCCATCTGACTGTATGACATGAAGCTTGAGCGCTGTGTTAAATGCCAAAGTGTAACCACCAGGCCACTCATGAAACACACTGTGATGCTGTGTTTATTTAAAATAACAAAAGAATCAAAACCAAAGCCTGCGATAGATGCCCAGAGTAGTCTTCTCTACCCGGAGACTGGGCTACCAGCCCCTGCCACGAGCACTTCACCCCCTCTTTTGGACCCCTCACCCACAGTGGGTCCACCAATGAGAAACTTGAACAGAGACATGGGTAAGGCCTCAGTCAGCCAGCACCCTGCTCATCTAACCCAAGAACACAGGCTCTGGGGGCCAGAGTTTCAACTTCCACTGTCCAGGGCCGATTTATTCTTTACAGTTCTATGGGATGTGGACGATATAGGCCCAAGTCCGCCCGCGCTGGAAAAACAAGCCGATCGGCTTAAAGAGCATTTGATGAACAGCAAATAACAACAGAAGCATAGTGAGATGGCCAGGGAACATTTCATCAGATCAGACTGAAGACACTAGCCCACATCCTGCCACCCTGACTACAGCCAGGAATGGAGAGCTGAGATCCTGCCCCTGCAGGCGGCTAATTCTCCTCTCTAAGCTGCCAACTCCTCTGGCCCTTCCTCTTTCTTCAGATAGCCTTGTGTATCCCAAGCTGGCTTCAAACTCACTATGTAGCCAAGTATGATTTTTGAACCCCTGATCCTCCTGCCTCCACCTTGCTGGGATTACAGGCGTGCAACACCATAACCCAATTTATACAAAACTAGAGATGAACTCGGAACTTCGTGCTTGCTAGTCAGCCACTCTACCAACGGAGCTAAATCCCCAGCCTATTATAAAGAAGGGAAGAAATGGAAAGAGGAAGGAATTTAAATGAGGGCACGCATGAACACTGTCCTCCGAGCCCAGCGCTGCTTCAGCACCTCAGGTCCCCGCCGGAGCTGCCTGACCTTAACCATCTTCCCCAGACTTGATTCCCTCGATTGTGGCTAAGGAGGTGCCACCTTTAAAGGGAACTAGCCCTTTGCTGAGCACAGGTGACCTGTCTTGGGGACAGTCCAGCCTGATTCAATTAGGCCGGGGCTCTGAAGGGCTTCCCTCTAGCACCACCAGGACTGGCGCCTGTAAGACATTCAGCAGCTATTTCTGCCACTTTCTTCCTCCCCTTCCAGCCGTGAGGAGGCAACTGGGGGTTGCCATGGAAACTGGCTCATCCTCCCACAGGAGGCTTGCCAGCTCTGATTTCCTGCAAAGATAAGAAGCAGGCAGCAGTGGGGGGTCACCCAAGCATGAAGATGGGTTTCCCTGGGGATGCCCAGACTCCTGCCAATCACACTGTCTATCCGGGAATCCCAAGGGTGCCTGGAGACCCAGGGCCAGGGAAGCCTCCAAGCCCTAGCTTTGCTCCAAGAAGTGAGCCCCTGGAACACACAGGTGCAGGGCCTCTTCTGTCTTTCCAGCTAAAGCTAAAAGGACCTCATCACAGATGTGCCTGTGTCTCATAAGTTTGGGTGTTCCTGGCTGTCAGCTCTCCAATGCCAAACAGAAGTGTCCCACTGCCACCCCTGGAGCCCTGGGAATGAAGAACAAACTGCCCACCCAATATCTGCTTCTAGGAGAGGTGTGTAGGCTGAGGAATCTCTACTGGCAAGAGCTGTGTGACCCTAGGCAAGCCACTTAACCTCTCTGAGCTGGCTTTCTGATTTGGAAAGCTGGCATAACACCATATCTTCTCCAAGATGCTGTGAGGAATGGAAGTATAGGTCTGCTGTGCCTGTCTCAGCAATTAAAGGCACTTTGGGATGCTGGACGGTGGTGGTGCACACTTTTATCCCAGTACCCAGGAAGCAGAGGCAGGCGGATCTCTGTGAGTCCAAGGCCAGCCTGGTCTATAGTGAGTTCCAGGACAGCCAGGGCTGTTACACACATGCTTAGGAAACATGCATGTTTGCAGTTATAGGAAGGTTTGCAAGCCACAGCCCCCGTGAAGTCAGCCCTTTCTCCTAAAATTGATGCACACTCCACTTTGGTGTTAGCATAAGGAAAGTCCTGTTACTTACTGTCTGTGAATCAAGGACAGAGGACTTTATCCCTCAGAATGCAGCCTGCATCGTCCCAGGTATGCACGTGAAGAGAGGGAGGGCCATGTCTCTTTAATAATCTGGGAACAGAACTTAAAACGCACTGACGAATCCTCATGACCCATATCTGCCATGCTGACCAAGGCCTGAACTACACTGGCTGCTAAAGATGGGGACAGTGGCTGCTCTGGGAGTCAGGGGCATGGTGGTGGGGACTGTGGGTACACAGGACAGGAGGCACAGGTGAACCCGGAGCCCAGACAGCCTGATTTGGAAGTGTCTTCACAGTGGGATATAGAGCTTTTATTGGCTTTTCCTGCTCTCTGTGTCCTCTAGGTCCCCTCCTGTGGACACAGCATTCTAGGAGAGCAACAGGGAGGCAGCGATGAAGGCACCGGAAGTCAGAGGCCCCAGGTGAGTATCGTGTCTGCTCCACGGGTCACAGCCTGCTACGGTACCTGATGGGAACGTCCTCCTCTGGCTGCATCAGGCCGAAGCCGTATCTGCTGAGGTCAAACTCGGGGACCTCTGTGTCCTTGCTGCCCAGCTCCAGGTCGAAGTGAGTCAGTAGGAGGACCACAAATCTGCAGGGAGAGAGGGTGCTTCAGACTGTGTGCTTCTCCGGGCTTGGCAGAGCTTGGTAAGGTGGGGACAGCTCAGAGCTGAGTGAGGCTAATGACTGTCTGTAGCAGTCATTTCTACAGCATAGCCCTAAAAGCCAGAGTGTGGTCCTCCAGCTCTCCTGCCTGCAGCATCAAGTACAGATGACAGAGCGGCCAGAGGGAGGGGCCCAGCCATGTGCCTCCAGCCCCACACCCACCGTGCCTGGGTAGTCCTGAGTCCCCAGTGCATCACAGTGCTCATGGTGAGAGGACTGTTTTCTCCTGCCTCTCCACAAGTCCTTGCCCCCTTTCCCTAAGCTTACAACTCTTACAGGCAGCCTGGCCGGGGCCACACTCACCAGGAATGCCTGTGAAATGGAAACCTGCACCACCCCTCAAGACTTCTTACAAGGGATGCAACTGTCACCAAGGGCCACCTTTGCAAGGCAACACTCTCTACCGCCACCTTCTGGAGACCCATAAAGCTGTCACATCTAGGATGCCCACCAGTGCCTCAATGACACAGTGACAGTCTCTCTCTGCCTTGACTCACTCACTACTGTCCATGTGATCCTAACTGCCCCGTGCCTCATCACTGTCCCCCACCTCATTCAGGGGCCTGAAGCCACGCTGAGCACACAGCAAGGACTTTCTCCTCTCACTGAAAGAGGAGCAGACAAGTGGATGAGCTGGGGGAAACTGGGCCACCAGACTTAAGGGGAAGTGAGACCCTCGCCAGGGTCTGTTCCCAATTGGGGGCTGGGTTCTCCTGTGAGGTCAAGGGAGCAAAGGTTAGCTGGCTCTTCCAGCTCTGGAGGGAGAGTTTCTCTGAGACAGGTCTTTTTACCCGTGTCCCGATGGTCGGAGCTATCGCAGCTGCCGTTGGCTGAGAGCTTCCTATCAGGGAGATCACACTGACTGAGGTCACAACAAATTCACTCTGTTGTTGAGATGCCATGAGTTAGGCACCGTGTGCAACACACAGAGCCCAGCACTTCTTTTGTCTGTCCCTAAACCGGATGAAGCAGGAACTACAGTCAAAGTTCTGTCACGGTTACTGATTTGAGTGAGAGAGTCTGTCCTGATGTGATCAAGACGTTAAGGCGCAAACACGAGCCGAGGGCAAACCTCCCCTTTGCTCACGTGCTGCTTCATGTTCCAGACACAGGGGTGAAGCAGAGCCTGCACTAGCCTGTCACGCATACATGTACACACATGAGCACCAACTGACCGCCCTCCCTGCCCATCACACTTTGTACCTTTAAGGAAAGTTTTATTTGGGGGCTGGAGAGACGGCTCAGTGGTTAAGAGACTGGCTGTTCTTCCAGAGGATCCAGGTTCAATTCTCAGCACCCACATGGCAGCTCACAACTGTCAGGGATCTGACACCCTTACACCAATGCACATAAGATAAAGTTAAATTTTATATATATATATGTGTGTGTGTGTGTGTGTGTGTGTGTGTGTGTGTGTGTGTTTACTGTGTGTGTGTGGGGGGGTATGTGCACATGAGTACAGTACTCAAAGAGGCCAGAAGAGGGCATCAGATCCCCCCAGGAGCAAGAGTTACAGGCAGTTGTAAGCTGCCCAACTAGGGTATTGGGAACCAAACTCAGGTCTTCTACAACAACTTAATCACTCTTAATTGCTGAGCCAGGTCCCCACCCTTGTCCATCCCTTAAGCAAGCATAAACTGCACGACCACCTTCCATTTGGCTCTAATCGTCCCCATGCGTCACCGGTGGCATTTTCAGACGCTAGGCTTCAGTCTCCCTTTGCCTATAATCTATGTTTTATTTTTTTAGGTTTGTTTTGTGATGCCGAGGATGGAGCCTCATGCCTTGTGTGTGCTAGGCAAGCACCTCAGTTTGAGATCCAGCCTCAATCATCTTGTTATTCTTAATTTTGAGATAAGAGCTCACTAAGTGGCCGAAGCAGGCTTTGAACTCATCATCCTCCTGTTTCAGCTTGCCCTGCCCCATAGCTGGCATTATAGGCCTGTGCTCCCAAGCCTGATACCTGCTGTTCTCACTGCCTGATTATGCATGACAAGGTGGTTTTGGGGAAGGCATATTAAGCATCAGGGCAGAACTGACTCCATCATTATCTCCACTTCACTGTTGAGAAAAGTGACATCAAAAGGTTAACGTGACTTACTGTCCCTTGGCATAGCACCTGCATGGTAATGACATGAATAATACAGACACCAGCTACCCATTCTCAAAGCCTGTAACGAGTCAGGTGGGGTAGGGAGGCATATAGAAAGCTCCATTCTGATCCGTTTTGGAGCTGTAATCAGCACCCGTATCTTGTAGCTGAGGAGACAGGCTCAGGTTACAGGAGGAACAATGGGCAGACAGCACAGTCCCTGGTCCAGGCTGTCTGCATCCTGGAAACCGAGACTCGGCGGAATCCCAGGAGGAGAACATAGGAGCTTCTCAGCTCACTCTGGAGTTACACAGCCAAGGGGAGACCCGGAAGTTCAGCCAGTTTCTGCCACAAAGGTCAGAACCTGCTGCAGCAGCCTCAGAAGGGCAGCCATGGCCAGCTGGACTCAGCAGCCAGCGTTTGGTATTCCCACGCCACCCTCAGAGGGAGAACCCTGCTGCCACATCTGATCATTGTGTAAGAAATCAGAGATGTGGCTTTTTCTTTTTTCAAGAACTCTTCTGACTTGTAAAAGAGCCCACATCTTAAAAACACAAATAAACAGATTTGCGGACAGGAGTTGACGCTCTGCCAGTTTGAAATCTAATCCTGTAGCCACTAGCCTGAGGCCATCAGTCAGAGCAGTAGAGGCATCAGGTGTCACCCCACCTTGGCTACAGTCTGGACCACATCCAAGCCCTGCCCTGGCCACACCCCACCAATGGGCCCCTTCCTTGCTGGGCCATGCATCGCTGCCCCCACGCCCTGCCAGCCCTGATGCCCCGCCCCCCCAACTCACTGTTTGATGCTGTTGATGGCATAGTTCTTCCCCAAGCACTGATTGTGCCCTGCTCCCCACGGCAGGGTGTAATTCTTCAGCCGCTTCCCATCTTTGTAAAAATCTTTCTTCTCTGACCCATCTGGGTTCAAGAATCGGTTGTATTTAAAAACCTGAAACAAGAAGGGGATGTGTGACGTCACCCCACACAAGCCTGAGCCAGGATGCAGGACTGGGGACCTCATGCAGACTTGTCATAACTGAGCATAACGGGAAGGACTGGGCAGGGCCTGGGGTTAAGGACTGTGGAGAGGACAATTCCCAGGCTGCAGAGGAAGTGAGGATCACAGCAGGCTGCCACTCAGGACTGCCTGATCCTTCAGTCGCACAGTCTGCCCACACCCACAGTCCCTGAGATGTCCAGTCCTGCCCTGATACTGACCTCAGGCTCTGTGTAGATTTCTGGGTCCTTCTGGGGACTCAGGAAAGGAAAGAGGAGGAGGCGGTCACCGCGTCGAAGAGAGAATTCCCTCCCATCTGCCATGGGCAAGGCCAGGTCTGCCATGACTTCACGAGTGATGAAGGGGGCAGCTGTGAGCCGGAGGGTCTCATTTAGCACGCTGTCTGCAAGGGCAAGCAGGAAGGGTTAATAAGCTGCCCTCTCACCTGCTGGACAAACAGAAAAATGGCCAGAGGGTGTATACCTTGCACATAATCACACAAGGTGGGAAAAGCCAGATGACAAAGTGTGCACTACATGGTCCCTGAGAAGCCCTTGGACATGAGAGGACATGGAAAGTGGGAGCCACAGGGATATCAGACAGCTGAGGGAGGAGTTTAGGGCCTCAGTGTCTACCTGCAGTGTGCATTCCTTTCTGGAGATAGCCCCCTGACCTTCCCCTAGAGACCACATCCCTGTACCCAGAAGTTGGACAGTTGATCCACTGCTAACTGGTGGATTTGAGCTTCCATTACCCAATCAGCCCACCCCTCTGAGCCCTGTGTTTGCTTCTGAGTAGACATAAAACCCAAAAAGCCAATGAACACTTTCCTGGGACTTTAGATGGGAATGTTGGATGAGAGGCCCCACCTCCAGCTGCTGACAGTTGTCCAGTCTCCACAGACCAGAGGCACCCCAGGAGAAAATGAGGCCAGATCCACACACACAGAGAGCTATCCCTGGCAACACTGTCCAAGCACCTGGGTCCACCTGAGCCTGATGCTAGAAACCTCAAGACTTCCCGTTGCATGACTCGGATTGAGCGTCTTCCATTATAGCTGCTTCAGGTGCTCTGCCACTTAACACCAAAGATCTCCTGAGACCAGGAGGAGGATACTGAGACCAGCGTGGAGGACACTGAGGGAACCTGGGGGGGACCCAGGTGAGCAGGTTTGGCCATCCTACCTAGCACAGGCATGTTGTCGAGAGTCTTCTGTGGGAGGGTGATCATCTGTGAAACAGGCTGCTCTGCTTTCCAGACAGTGCGCTTCAGCTCTTCATGGACAGCCTCAAGGGCCTCAGGATTCTTGAGGAGGAAGAGAAGGAGCCAGAAGGCCGTGGGACCCATATTCCCCTGCAACGAGGAGAAGCCTGTCACTTACCAAATGACCAAGAGGGCTCCTCAGGCTGGGCCACAGGGCCGCGCTCAGCATGCCTGGTTCCCATGCTGGTCAAGCACCTAGGCATCACCAGTAACTTCAGCCCCAGACTGCGACCAAAATCTGCTTGGAGCTTTGTTTGGTTGAGCCTGGTACCTACTTGAAGGCCACTCCTGCCATCCTGACCTCGAGTGAAGACCCTGGTCTGGGGTCACCCAGGGAAGCCTCTGTAACTTTACCAGAACAAGTGTACAAGTCCACAAGGCAAGAACACTGAGACTGTCTGAGGGTGGCTGCGCCTGGCCTTCCCATGTCCCTCTGCAGTTTCCACGGAAGAGGCAGGGTACACCTCCCTGCTCAGTACACCTTGAGCTCAGCCATGGACTTGCTTTGACCAACAAATAGCTTGACGTGGAATTTGAGAATAATAGATCTAAGCCCTGGTTTTTGACTGAGCCTTTGGCTCCAGGGTGAGAGACACGTAGGGCCCAGCTAAACTGTCCCGGCTGGGCCATTTTAGACCAGCCGGATCCACCTATGAGCTCATGTCTATCAACACAGGCTGCAACTAGCTGATAACAATAGCTATTCATAGTTTAGAAAGCAGTTTCCTTACATGATTCTTGTGTGACAGTTAATTCTCTTGAAGGATGAACAGAGGAGCAGTTAAAAGGCTGTTCTTTTTTTTTTTTTTTTAAACAAAAGTTCTTTGAAACTTCCCAAAAGATAAACTAGGAAAATCAATGACATGGTGTGCTCCAAGACCAGGGAAGACCTGCCTAACATCTCCACCCAACTCCCCGGCACCTTCCAGTGATGCCGACGATGGATCCCCAGCAACCTCAACCTGCAGGGAGGTTTTCTCTATCCTGACATGTGACTGTAGTCACAGACTCAAGCAGCATCCTTAGACATCATCTTTCCCAATGAGGTCTTGGAGACACAATTGCACTGGGCAGACGACATGAATCGCAGCCCTAATACAGAACCCAAAACGGGAAACAAGCTCCTCACGGCCTACCATGTGGCAAGTTGTTTTTAAAAAAAAAATAAAATAAAAAAATCCAGGTTCCTCTGGATCTGAAAGACACGTGGAAGCAGACAGGCTACAAGGTGTGAGGCTGGGCTTGTGGGAGCCGCTGTGTGTTCGAAGAGGGGTCATGTGAAGGAGTAAGACTGTCTTTAAGAGACACAGGACCCCCGGGTGTTGGTGGCGCACGCCTTTAATCCCAGCACTCGGGAGGCAGAGGCAGGCGGATCTCTGTGAGTTCGAGGTCAGCCTGGTCTACAGAGTGAGTTCCAGGACAGGCTCCAAAGCCACAGAGAAACCCTGTCTCAAAAAACCGGGGGGGGGGGGACCCAGCCCCGAGGTCACTTGTGGGAGAGACTGGGGGCTGGGAGGTTGAAGTAGCAGGACTGACTTTCTGTTTGTGGGGCGGTGCACATGCAAGTTCCTCAGGCACTGCCCACCTTGCTGAGGCAGGGTCTCTCGTGGCCTGGAACTTGACAGGTAGGCTAGGCTAGCGAGTGAGCTCTGGGATCTGGCGGTCTCGTCACCCCAGTGCTGTGATCACAGACGGTGCTTTCCTTCACATCTGGCTTTGTAACAAGGGTTCTGGGAATGGTACTCAGATCTTCACATTTGTGGGGCAAGCCAGTTAACGGAGTCACCTCCCTGCCATGTCCCCAGCCAGCCAGCCAGACTTTCTTTGCATGCACATACCCATTCAACCTGCTTGAATTTCTTTTGTTGTTTTTTTTTCTTTTGTTTTTTGAGCTTATACTATAATGATGTCATTTCTTTCCTTCTCTTTCTTCCCTCAGAACCTTCCTTCTCATACACTACTTGCTCTCTTTTCAATTCATGGCTTTTACCTCACTCATTTCTTTTGTTTATTCAAGACAGGGCCTCTCTAAGTAGCGCTGGCTAACTTAGAACTTGATATGTAGACCAGACCAAGCTGGCCTTGAACCCATAGAAGCACCTGTCTCTACTCTGAGTGCTGGCACTAAAGGTGTGTACCATCACATCTGGCCCCAATTAGATCCCTCTTTTTCTCCCTCCCTCCCTCCCTCCCTTCCTCTGTCTCTCTTTCTTTTTCCAAGACCAGGTTTCTCTGTGTAACAGCCCTAGCTGTCCTGGAACTTGCTCTAGTAGACCAAGCTGGCCTTGAACTAACAGAGATCCGCCTGCCTCTGCCTTCGGAGTGCTGAGATTAAAGGTGTGTGCCACCACTGCCCAGCTCCAGTTGGGTTTCTTATTGCATGTACTGCAGGAGTGTCCCACGTGGTTTCCATGGTGACCTACCGTGTCATGAGGATTGTCCACATTATGCTATGAAATCAAATAGGAAGCTGTGTAAAGACAAGGGGATGGCCTTAGCAGCCCCCTGCCAACTGCACCGTGTGTGCGCACATGTGCACCCCGAGTTTCTCCTGGGTTTGTAGCCCCAGTGAGCTTATGAAGGACTCTCTGGTCTAACCTTGTCTTGTGGTCAGGCTGAAGGAGGATGTGGGAAGATGACTGGGCTGAGGGAGTGAAGCCAGTCAGCTCCCTGTCACCACGGTTCCCAGGGCAGTGGCTGCCCAAGGCTGCAGCCAGTCTGTCCCAGTTCCAGACACCTTCCTCTCCGGCCAACGCACCCCAGCCGGACCTTTGGTCTCAGCCTTCAAGAGCTGCCTCCTCCCAGGCCTTGGGATGCTGGGCCATGTGCCACCCCACTCCTCCTGGTCCCAGGGTCCCATTTCACCCAGCTTTGGGAGAAAGAGATCCTGATGATGTTTGCCGAGTGTTCGATGGGATGGTTGGCCCACGGGACAGCTCATGTCACCCGGAGTTATTACTCACGACTCGCAGTCTCAGATCTGCAACAGCCACCACAGCCCGGGTTCCCCAACCTCAGCAGCCCCTTTGGGCTCCTCACCCTGTCTCCCAAACACTATTTGTACAGGGATGTCCCTCCTCACCCCGTCCTACTTCCTCTCACGTCATCCCGAGTGCAATGCCGTCTGTCCACTACTGGGTCCCACAGGTCTGTCTCTGGCTCACATCCTCACCCTGAGCTCTTAGACATCCGCATCGCATGCGACTGAACCCTGAGCTTCTGCCTTGATCACTCCCTCCACTCCCCCAGCCATTACACACACACACACACACACACACACACACACACACACACAGACACACACACACACACACACGCACACACACACACACGCGCGCACACACACACGAACACACACACACACGCACGAACACACACGAACACACACGAACACACACACACACACACACACACACGCACGCACACACACACGAACACACACACACACGCACGAACACACACGAACACACACGAACACACACACACACACACACACACACGCACGCACACACACACGAACACACACACACACGCACGAACACACACGAACACACACGAACACACACACACACACACACACACACGCACGCACACACACACGAACACACACACACACGCACGAACACACACGAACACACACGAACACACACACACACACACACACACACGCACGCACACACACACGAACACACACACACACGCACGAACACACACGAACACACACGAACACACACACACACACACACACACACACACACGAACACACACACACACGCGCGCACACACACACGAACACACACACACACGCACGAACACACACGAACACACACGAACACACACACACACACACACACACACGCACGCACGCACACACGCACGCACAGGTGGGCTCACACCCAAAGCTGACTGGATACTTGCTGATACTGGCTCCTGGCCTCGCACTGCCATGGGGGACCCCAGAGCCGGCCGCCTCTCCCCGCTCTCCACCCCACCCTCTCTGACCTTGAGACTGGTCCCCTGGCTCCCCCTTCTCCTCTGAAGCACACTCAGCCACACCCTGCTTCTCCGCAGAGCCTTTAGCGGCGCCCACTTCACTTGGAGTGAAGGAAGCTCCCTCAGAGCCACAAGGTCTGGAGGGGCTCTGTGACACTTGCCACCTCACCATACACCATCCTCATGCCCACCTCACAGCCTTTGCGCCTATGCTCTCTGCCTGGAGCTCGCATCCCAGAGACACCCATGGTGGCTCACCCTTCACAAAAAGTCTCTGGTCAGATGTCACCTGCCCACTGAGGCCTTTCTACTGCTCTCTCTAGTGACCTCACAGACGCCCCCATCCATTAACCGTGCTCTTCCCTGCCAGAGGCTTGTTCTGTACATGAGAACTTTCATCTGCCCTGCCCACCACTCTATACCCAGTTCCTGGGATGGAAACAAAGTCTCATGTATCCCAGGGGTAGCCTCAGATTCACCGTGTAGAAGAGGGTAACCTTGAACTTCTGATCCTTCCGCCTCTACCTCCCAAGTGCCAGGATGGTGGGTGTGCACTACAGGCCTGGTCCTAAGTTGAATCACCTGGCAGGCCTTTGTCGCCTGCTGGTGTCAAAAGCTCCTCTCACTGCTCCACCATGCCCTGAAGAAGGAGCCGCATAGCTATTGTATGTGTGGGTAAACTGAGGCACTGCAGGGTGTGGTGACTGACTCACTAGAAAGTAAAAGCCACCTCATACCCAGGCAGGCAGGCCCCACAGCTGGTGTCCAGAGCTAACAGCCTCCTGCTCTGCTGTCACAACTCAGCATCCTCCAGACCCCTCCGCTGGGAGGATCTATCCCAGCCTGAGCCCTGCCGGAGGCCATTCCCTGGGATCTGGCTTTCAAGTGCCTGGCCAACTTCCTACTCTGTGGACAGAGGTCATTTCCACAGGGGGCTCTGAGGACACTTTGGAGCACCCTGTCCTTTTGGCCCATAAATATGTTATCAGGCATGCATAGGGCCAACTGCTGATTAAGCCCTGGCCTGCCTCTGCCAGCCTTTGCCTGCAGGACAGTTAATAGCTCTGAGGACAACTAAAAATAAGTTGCCAGTCGATGGAGAGGAATCACCCAGGGACATCAGCCTGTCCGGCAGTCGCTGCCAAGTGGGGCCTAGAGAAGGCAGGGGCTGAGCTGGGTGAGAGCAGTGAGCAGAACTCAGGCTCACAGCATCCAAACAGCTGTTCCTTCCTCCCATGTCAACACTTGCCCCACACACAACTTCACTGATTGCCGTCTTAGTTCCCTGCATCTCTCTGAATTCTCCTGTTGTGTGATATTTTCATTGTGTTCTGACAAATACAGCCTGCTTGGAGTCAGAGAGCGGAGCCAGCCATTAGCTGACCATAGAGGTTTGGAGGACTGGAGAGAGTGGACAGGAAGTGGTAAGGCGGAGACAGGATCTTGGCCATTTGGATGGGGGAACGGAAGAGGTAGGAAGGACTGTGGCTGTTCCTCTGCTTCTTTGATCTTTCACGTTTTTACCCTGATTTCTGACTCCTGGTTTTTATTGATAAGATTAATTAGATTTTTTGTTGTTGTTTTGTTTTTCGAGACAGGGTTTCTCTGTGGCTTTGGAGGCTGTCCTGGAACTAGCTCTTGTAGACCAGGCTGGTCTCAAACTTACAGAGATCCACCTGCCTCTGCCTCCTGAGTGCTGGGATTAAAGGCGTGCGCCACCACTGCCTGGCAATTAATTAGATTTATGCTTCATTCTCCAATATCTCAGTGGCCAGCACAGCCTCCTCACTGGTGACCTGTTCCTGTCCGTAGGAGGAACCTTAAGATCTCAGGAATCAAGGCTAGAGAGATGGCTCAGAGGTTAAGAGCACTCGCTGCTCCTTCAGAGGACCTGGGTTCAATTCCCAGCACCCACGTGGCAGCTCACAACCATCTATAACTCCAGTTCCAGGGGATCTGCCGCCCTCTACTGGCCTCCTAGGTACCAGACACAGACACAAACACACACATTAAATAAATCTTCAAAATAAAGTTTCTTTAAAAAAAAATCTAGCCCCCCCTTCCCCCAAAAGGAGGTTCAACACCGTCTCTCTTTGGTGTGCTAACTCACCTGGCTTCTGCCACGCTCAGCTCCCTGCTGTTGCCCTTGGTGGGCTCCAACACTTTGCACTTGCTGTCTCCCCTGCTTGAAATATTTCCTAATTCCCAGATCCCTGCCTAGCTTTCTTGACATCTAGAAAGAGCTCAAATGTCTCTACTGGCGAGGTCTCCCTGAGCCTCTAGCTGTGATTCCCAGAACAGCTCCAGCCCCAGCCCTGCCTCCCACCACACAGCCTCCTCCCCAGCCATTGAGCAGGGTTCCTGGATCTCAGCTCCCTGCTCCAGCCCGTCTGAAATGCAAGCATTCCCAGAAGGTCCTTCTGCAAGTTCTCTGCACACTTCAAAAACAAAACCCGCCAAGGTCATGGAAAACAGTGAAAAGAAGAGAACACCAGGAGAATGGGAACTGAAGGCGCAGAGTGGCTTGGTGCCACTAGGATGCTGGCGCAGAGGCCCGGGCCAGGATGAGCCTTAACAGGCTGCAATGACTCTTCTCAATTGTCAGCTTGAGATGGGAGAGGCCTCTGGCATGCCTGTGAGGATAACCCTGCCTTAACTGAGGCTGGACCCACTCCTTGGGCGGCTGCACTTCCAGGCTGGATCCTGCCCTGGGTAAGGGGACAGCGGAGCCAGGCGTAGATGGTGTTCACCGTTTGTGGCTTTTTGACTACAAGTACACCGTGACTAGTTGTCAAGCGACTGCCACTGTGGCTTTCCCACACTGTGATTAAAACACACCCTTCCTTCCTGAAATGGCTTTGGTCGGAGTGTCTCATCACAGAAGTGGGAAAGTAAGGAAGACAGAGGCACCGCTGGGATGACCGTGAGGCACAACTGGACCTGATCCCGGGACTGGCCTCCTAGTTTGGCATCGGACTGCGGCCATGTGGGAGAACATTCTTGCTCCTGCGAGACGTTCTGACGTAAGCAGAGGGAAAGAGCCAGGCTACCTGCAACTTAGCCACAAACGGGACAAAATCACGGCACACGAGAGGGAAGGAAAGGAACTGAGGTGTGTGAGAGGGGTTGGAGACCTGAGGCGACGTGTACAGGAGTTTATTGAACTATCGTGAGCTTTCCAGGGGGCTGGAGGTAAAGTCTTTCCAGAATGCACAAGGCTCCCATCCACCCCAGCACAGTATAAACCAGGCATGGTGGCACAAATCTACAGTTCCAGCATTCAGGAGGTGATGGAAGGAGGGTCATATGTTCAAGGTCATCCTTGGTTATGTAGCAAGTTTGAAGCTAGCCTGGGCTATCTGAGACCCATTTTCCTAGCCTGGGCTACCTGAGACCCATTTTCCTATCAGTCTGCCATTTTTCCATATGTTAAATAAGCAATGCCAATCTTATGGACCGTCTGGTTCCACAGCTGCTGGACAAGACAAAGAGTGAAGGGTGGGAGTGGCCAGCAGGCTGTGTGCTCACACCCTCATCTGCTCACACCAGCGCACACAAGTGAATCCCATACCTACGCACCCATGCCCACCTGTGTGGCCCAGAGCTGCAGCACCAGTGCCCGGGCTTGCATTTCCTCTGACAACCCCATCTCCTCCAGGTGCTTCAAATAACTCTCCAGCCAGCTGCTCCTGTCAGCCCTGGTGGCCAGCCGGGCTGGGGACAGCAACTTCCACAGGCGGCCTTTGACACTGCATGCATGGTCTTTATCCCCTGCATGGACAGAGCACAGAAGAGGAAGGCTTTAGAATCACCTCCAGGAGAGGGCCACCCAGCCTCAGCCTTTCACAATGCTGCCAAGTGTTCTGTGTGTCACTGGTGGGAAAGGAAAGCTTGGGTGAAGCTCTGTGGGAGTTGCCTTGCCTAGAACCCATGTTGATTAGCAGAAAGGCATAAAGACCTGTCCCTGCAAGAAAGAACTCTCCATAGCAAGAACTCAATCGAGATTTGATAAATGCATGAGGCTCTATGGGGCCACATAGGAGGACACACTCCAGGCAACAGCCTCCCTCCTTGGGACCTAACCCAGAGCAAGGCCAGACCATGCATGCAAGACCAAGGGCTCAGCATACCAGAAAGAGCCTCATTGGCCATTGGTAGGGAAACAGATCTGGGGTCTCCACTCAACTCCCTCTAGAGCAGACAGGTAAGGTCACCAAGGGAAAAGACCCTAAGGAGACCATGTAGACCTGAAGAACGGGGAGACCTCCAGGTCACTGCAACCCACCCTTTGGCATGGCAGAGCCAGTGGCTCCACCCAGGCAGACTCTAAAGAAGCCAGTGGCCCAGAGCTCTTGTGGAAACTCTCTCTCTCTCTCTCTCTCTCTCTCTCTCTCTCTCTCTCTCTCTCTCTGTGTGTGTGTGTGTGTGTGTGTGTGTGTGTGTGTGTGTCTGTCTGTCTGTCTGTCTATCTGTTTGTAGTTCCCGTTGCAGGGATGGAACTCAGGCCCTTGCACACACCGAGTTGCACCCTAGCCTCCTTCTCACATTCATAACATTGACATTGAAGCTAGCACAGGCCATAAAATCACCCCAGAATAGCTGAAGATGAAGGGACCAGCTCCCCATTTCGGCAGCCATAACAGCCGAACACATGCTTGTCTGACCTTGCCTTCGTCACTAAGAGGTCAGATGCCTGCCTTGGTACAAGGAACCAATCAGAAGTTAGCTGGTGGTGCTATGCTTTACAGCTCTGGGTGTGCCTTACAGACAAGCACACAGCAATAATGGGCAGAGCATAGCAACAACCCTGGGAGGGCCTCTGGGCCATAACAACCAGTTGACCAATCAACACAGGGCAAGCCCTCCAAGCCTGGAGGCACACCAATCCTGAGCCTGTGCATACCCCTAGACACTCCCCTTACGCTGCCCTATAAGATCTCTATGCAGATGCTTCGAGCTGTCTTTTCTAGCCATCCGCCATGGCGGGTAGATGAAAGACCCGAGCTAACATGGGGTTAGCTCGTTAAACAATTATAATAAAGCCTCGTGCAGTTTGCATCAAGCTTTCGATTCCGCCTGGTGATTGGGGTGACCGGGCGGTTGTGGCCTGGGACCCCGGATACCTGAGTTTTCCGGGGGGTCTAACAGTACAGTGACCTGTCCCATCTAATACAACCACAGTGGTTGCCCATTTATACCAGGGTGCCATTGCCTGGCAATCCTTTTCAGGGAACTAGTCTCATCTCTGCACCCCACCTTATAACATACACACAGGCATGAGGTTCACTGGTCTCCAGAGTTATCCCTGGGGAACTGGGCACCACCTGGGATTTCTAGAAGCTCTCTCACTATACGTCAGGTGACCTGCCCAATAGACTGAGACCTGGCAGCCTCAAGTCCCAGGAGCTTGTGAGGGTGGAATTCGTGGCTAAACACAGGCTTATGAGTGTGAACATGTTTAGGGGGGCATGCTTGCATAGGCTTACTAGTGTGCACGTGTGGAGGGGACATGTGTCATGCTTACATGGAAGCTGAAGCTCAGTACCCGTCACGCTCCACCTTCTTCCAGAGACACTGCCTGTGTCACTGAACCTGGAGCTTGTGGGTTTGGTGTACTGACTGGCCAGTAAGCCCCAGGGGATCCCACCAAAAAAGTGCCAACTGATTTCAAAAGCAGTAAACCCAGTGCTGGGACGATAGGCATGCTGCCACATCCCGCTTTTACGTGGGCTCTGGGATCGGAAAAGTCCCCATGTCTGTGTGGTCAGCACTGTGTGGACTGAGCCATCTCCCAGCCTGGCCTTGCTGTTTTTGAAGTCAGTTGGCAACATTTTCAGACAACGGGCTCAACCAGATTTAAAGCAGGGAGCCCCTGGGCTCAGCTGAAGCACAAAACTTTCCTGTGTCTCCCACTGTGTTGGATTCTGAGCTCCCAATATCCTGAGAGCCCAGCCAGGCTGACTGTGCAAATCCCCAGGTGAGACCAGCATGGGGGGAGTTTTTAAAAAATTACCAAGGGACGTGGGAGGTGACAACATCACTCCCAGCAATGCTCCTGATATCTCCAAAGTCCCCGAGGCCCAACCTTATAATTTCAGTCTCTCGTGTGCAGTGGTGTGTGTGTGTGTGTGTGTGTGTGGGTGTGTGTGTGTGTGTGTGTGTGTGTGTGTGTGTGTGTGTGTATGCATGTGTGTGTATCTGTATGTGTGCATGTATGTATCTCTGTGTGTGTATGTGTGTGCGTGTGTGTATGCATGTGTGTGTATATCTGTGTGTCTGTGTGTCTGTGTGTATCTCTGTGTGTGCATGTGTGCGTGTGCATGTGCATGTGCAGTGTGTGTGCACATGTGTATCTGTGTGTGTGCACGTGTGTGAATATCTGTGTGCGCATGTGTGTGTATCTGTGTGTGCATGTGTGCGTGTGTGTGTGTGTGTGTGTGTATCTGTGTGTGTTCATGTGTGTGTGCACACGTGTGCACATATGTGCGTGTGTGTGTGTGTGTGTGTTCATGTGTGTGTGCACGTGTATGCGTGTGTGTGTGTGTGTGTGTGTGTACATGTGCACTTGGTATGCGGCGCACTCACACCTGTGTGCATGTGGAGACCAGAGATTGATGTTGGGAGTCTTCCTCTAGGGCAGTGGTTCTCAGCCTTCCTACCGCTGTGACCCTTTAATACACTTCCTCATGCTGTGGTGACCCCAGCCATACAATTGCCCATTGCCAATTCATAACTGTAATTTTGCTACTGTTATGAATCGTAACGTAAACATCTATGTTTCCCAGTGGTCTTAAGCAACCCCTGTGAAAAGGTCATTTGACACAAAGGGGTCAGGACCCACAGGTTTAAAACCACTTCTCACCGGGCGTTGGTGGCGCACGCCTTTAATCCCAGCACTTGGGAGGCAGAGGCAGGCAGATCTCTGTGAGTTCAAGACCAGCCTGGTCTACAAGAGCTAGTTCCAGGACAGCCTCCAAAGCCACAGAGAAACCCTGTCTAAAAAAACCAAAAAAAAAAACCCAAAAAACAAAAACCACTTCTCTATTGCTTTCCACCTTATTTTTGGGGCCAGGGTTAGAGCACATGCCACCACACTGAACCTTACTTAGGCGCTGGGTCCTCATCCTCTGACATCATACACTTCACCCACTGAGCCACCTTCCCAGCCCCGGTGTTTATAACACCTGAAAAGCAGCTCAGGATGCTTGGCCTTGTCCGTCCCTGTGCCTAGGACAGTTCTGAGAGCAGAGGAGGTGGCCCAGAGATGGGAGACGCAGAAGCCTGTGTTGTGTGGGTCTGACTGAGGCCTGGGTCATCTCTAGGACTCAGTCACCTCCTTATCCACAGAGCAGGGCCTTCAGCCTTGTCTGCTCAAGTATCTTCTCCGGACACCCCTCTGGACCCTAGGGATCTGGGAAGCACCAATCAGAGATGGGCTGGCGGAGGTAGGCTATGAGTGCCTGGTACGTCAACGCAGGCAAGTAAGTCTTCATCACACTGACTCTGTGAATGCCTCTTCTTGGGTGTGGTGGCACACGTCTGGAGCACTTGGGAGGCAGAGGCAAGACAATCGCCAGTTTGAGACTAGCCTGGGCTACGTAGTGAGTTCCCACATATACTTGAAAAGATGGAGAACTTCACATATATGCAGAGAACACTGAGAGAAGGCAATATATATGTACATATTCTCTTTTATTTTAGGAGGAGGAAGGGAGGAGTGGCAGCGACCTAAGAGTTCACGTCGGTGTGCTGTAAATTTCATTCTCCCTGCCTCATCTAACTCCTCAAAGGCGAAGTCCAAACACGCCACCACCACACCCAGATGGAGGTGGGCGGTTCAGGCCAACGTTCTGCACCTCGGCCACCATGGGTTTCATCCCCTTCTGCTTCACAGAGTGGGGGCTGCTCTCATATGACGCCTCGCTATTTAATCAGCCCCTACTCTGTCCCAGGTGAGTCCTAACTCCTGCTGCCACAGGCAGCGTAGCCCTGAGTACCACCACCATGTGTGAGTATTTCTGGGAGAGGGAGCATGGAAGAAAAAGATCTACATTTGATATTTTGGTGGGCTTTGCCCAGTTGGTCTTCACAAGGTCAGTGAACTGATTGATTCCACCTGAGGGCAACTGACCAACACTGCCACCTGCTGCTCACACTGAGAAACGTAACCTTTCATGGATGTGTCCTGTGCATCACTGGGCTCCCGTACAGGGAGGGACAATGAAGAAACAAGCAGCTGGTACCGGTATGGGACACATGTTTTTTTGTTTGTTTTTGTTTCTTGGGGGTGGGGGTGGGGTAGGAGGGTGGTTTCGAGACAGGGTTTCTCTGTGGCTTTGGAGGCTGTCCTGGAACCAGCTCTTGTAGACCAGGTTGGTCTTGAACTCACAGAAATCCGCCTGCCTCTGCCTCGAGAGTGCTGGGATTAAAGGCGAGCGCCACCACCACCCGGTGGGACACATGTTCAACATGCCAGATTTTGCAATGCATGTTGCCTCCTCTGTCACCCACCTGCTGATCTATAACTAGTGACTTCATCTGTGTGAGCCTCAGTTTTATTGTCTGCAAAGGGGGCTCTGTGACGTCAGCCCGCAGGGACTGTGTTAGACAATGAATAATCTCTATAAAGACGATTGTGTGGACAGCTTCCAGAAATGGCAAGCAGAGGCCAGAGAGGCCAAACCATGCCTCAGCATGGTAGGCGGGGAGATGAGCAGGACACCGATGCCCTTTTCTGCCCTCCAGGTTGACAATAATTTGAAGACCAATGACTGCATTCTGACAAAGCTGTGACAAGAGGCGAGTGACAACAGAAAGCTACCACCATCTACCCAGAAACCAACAGAAAGACAGGGGGTGGCCCTAAGGCTTGGCAGATATCTCATCCTCTGGGTAGCCATGTGAATTGCTCCATGGCTGTGCACACCTGTAATCCTAGCACTTGGGAGGCTGAGGTAGAATGATACTAATTTAAGACCAGCCTGGTCTACTGAGAGACCCTGTTTCAAAAAAGCAAAATGAAGCAGAAAGAAAACATATGTAAAAAAATACTAAGATGTGCCAGGTGGTGGCACACGCCTTTAATCCCAGCATCTGAGAGGCAGAGGCAGGTGGATCTACAGAACAAGTTCCAGGACAGCCAGGGCTATGCAGAGAAACCCTGTCTCGCAAAAACAACAAACAAACAAAAAACAAGAAAACTAAGCTGTAGCTAAGATGTGAGCCCACTGAGCCTGGTTGACACTCAGAACAAAGTCCTCGGTGAGCAATGCTGCTACCACCTCAGCCAGCCCTAACTGCCACCTTCTAAGATGGCTCCGTCCTTCCCATCTGACACAGTGAGATCCCACAGACATGGGGAGGTGGGGCCCAGAGTCTGTCTTCTCCCCTCTCTTCTGCTGTGCTGTGCCTCCGGAGCAGGGACAGAGAGAAGCAGCTATCCCAAAGCCGCCAGAGATTCCAGAACATGTGGCTCCTCCCGGCCTCCCCATGGCTCCCATCAAATGTGCACTTGGCCTGGTCTCCTCAAGAGCTCTGAATCCAAATGGACCACCATGGTTTGGATATGAAATGTGTCCCCAACAGGCTCATGTCCTGAAGGTTTGGTCCCCTTCTGGCGCCATTATGGAGAAGGAGCTGGAGTGTGAGGACACTCCAGGGCTCATGGATGGGTTAATGCCCAGCAGTTTACTGCTACAAAGGGCTAGTGCGAGTGGGGACCACGAGACAGCAGGTCATGGGGATGTGTCTTTGAAGAGTGTGCCTTTTCCCCAAGAGCAGCTTCCTCCACTTCCTGGCTACCATGAAGCAAGCGGCCTTCTCCTGTGCTCCTGACCTGGTCATGTTCAGTCACACCACAGGCCAGCAGCAATAGAGCCATGTGGCTGTGGATTGAAACCTTTGAAACCAAGAGCATCTATCTATCTATCTATCTATCTATCTATCTATCTATCTCCTATTTTTAAAGTGTTTTCCCTGGATAATTTATCACAGAAGGGATTTTACTGATTCTTTTATGTTAATTAATTATTTTAATTTTTGGTTATTTGAGACAGGATCTCATTATGTAGCCTCAGCTACATAATGTAGACCAGGCTGGCCTCGAACTCATAGACAACTGCTTGCCTCTGCCTCCCAAGTGCTGGGATTAAAGCAATGCGCCACCAAGCCTGGCTCTTGCTGCTTCTTGAGGGAAATACCATCTGGTCTGTGCATGGGGCCTGTAGTGATTTGAAAGAAAATGGCTCTCAAAGGGAGTGGCCCTATGTGGAGGTGCGGCCTTGTTGGAGTAGGTGTGGTCTTATTGGAGACAGGTTAAAGATCTCACATATGCTCAAGCCACACCCAGTGAGCTAGGCCGCTTCCTGTTGCCTGCGAGTCAAGATGTAGGACTCTGAGCTACTTCTCCAGCACCATGTCTGCCTGCATGCTGCCATGTCGCACCATGATGACAATGGACTAACCCTCTGAAAATGTCAGCTACCCCAGTGTTTTTCCTTCATCAGAGTTGCTGTGGTCATGGTGCCTACCCGTTGACAAGGAGCCTCGAGCCAGTTTGGGGAGCAACAGATCCAGCTGGCGGAAGGTGGTGAAGACGTCAGCCGAGTGGACACGGTCCTGGGCTTGGCTTTCATGGGTGCGTGGCAAGGCCTCCACTCCATAGAGGGTCAGGTAGCCGGCTCTGGGGGTGACAGCAACAAGTCAGGTTCCCGTCTTTAGTCCCGGCCCTGCCTCAGGTTCCTGTCTGTCTTTAACCCCTGCCCTGATTTCCCTCAGTGTTGAGCTGTGACCTGGAAATGTAAGATGAAATAAATCCTTTCTTCCCCAAGTTGCTTCGAGTCAGAGTGTTTTACCACCACAACTGAATAAAACAGAATACCACGCCTCCTTCTTGAACTCCCCCAGTCATGGGTCTCCAGAAGAGGATTTTCCAAGCAGGAAGATGAGGGAAACCAGAATGAGGGAGGGTGAAATAGAGAGAACCATGCCTAGTCCCCACCCTGCAGTAGGCCTGCAATGAATGTTGGGTTGGGGGGGGGGTAGGTTGATGGATGTGAGAGGGTGGGTGGGTGGATATAGAGGGATGAGTGGATGGACGGGTGGTGAATAGATGGATGGACAGGATAGTTGAATGGGTGAGCGAATGGATGGCTGTGGGTGGCAGGATGATAGAAAGATGGGTAGATAAACAGAACACACTCCTGAGAACTCTGGTGAAAGTCTATCACAAGTCTGTCTGACAAGAGCTATCCAAGCCACCACCACATCCTCTGTGCACACACCGTTCCTTTCCAGGCCAGGTTAGAGTCTGTGTTCCTGGAGACAAGCCCTCAGGGCAGGAGACTCATACCTTCTCTTTCCTCTAGGCTAACAAGAAACCCACTTCCTTCTAGGAACAGCGAGAGGTCAGAGACCAAGCTCAACCTTCTCCTTACCTCAGCCTCAGCCTGGAAGTTTCTCTTCCTCCCCGTGCTATACTCTGGGTAGATGTGGGGAGACAAAACCCAGAACTTAAGTCAGCTTCCCTATAAACGTAAGTGGTTCCAGAAGGCCACTAGGTGGCACTCGGCACCATAAACAGTCAGGGACACGATTCAGCTGTCTCTAGATCAGGTCTTCATCTCGAAGGACAGGGAAGCCAACAGCACACAGATAGGCCAGTAGAGTGTCCCGGTGAAGGTGTGGCTGAGAGCAGCCACCCATGACCGGGATGGGGACTCTAGGTGAGTCCCCAGGTCTCAGTTTCCCCATCTAACAAGTAGGGTCTGTAAATTACCACCGTATGGAACATGAAGTGAGTTTACCCATCCAGTCGACACAGACCTGATGTCACCTGTGTGTACACATGTGTACGTGTCAACAACAGTTGCCTTTTTTCAGAAATGCACATGCGTGGCTCTGAACTTCTGGGGATAGTTACAATATCTTTTTTTTTTTTTTTTTAACGGTGCTACTAACCATTGAGTTACCCAGTCCCTCAGCCCTTCCCTACCTGTTAAAAGCCTTCAGTATGCCCTGTAACTGTGCATTCTTACCCTCCCCCAAGTACAGGCACCACTGCAACTCACCTATGAGACTACACACGTCCTAATGGGTCCCTCTGCCTGGTTCTTACCTATGGATGTCCCCTACATAAGAGCACAAGGCTTATTTATTTATTTATTTATTTATTTATTTATTTATTTTTATTAGTTCAAATTAGGAACAAGGTTGCTTCACATGTCAATCCCTTCTCCCTTTTCCTCCCCTCCCCCCAACCTTCCCTCCCAACTCCCCCACCTGCCCCCCACCCCATCCACCCTCCACTCCACAGGCAGGGTGGGGCCCTCAACAGGGGCTCCGCAAAGTCCTCCACATCATCCTGGGCTGGGCCTAGGCCCTCCCCCATGTGTCCAGGCCGAGAGAGCATCCCTTCACGTGGGATGGGGTCTCAAAGTCCCTTCTTACACCAGGGAAAAAATACTGATCCACTACCAGAGACCCCTAGGGTGTGGAGGCCTCCTCATTGACATCCATGTTCAGGGGTCTGGATCAGTCCCGTGCTTGCCTCCCAGACAGCAGTCTGGGGTCCATGAGGAGCATAAAGCTTTAAATGAGATTGCACCGGGGGCCCTTTGTAAGCTCCTAAGGCATCACCACTGGCACCCAGCTAAGCCTACATTCCAAAGTCTTCCTCCAGGCTGTGAGACCGGCTTCGGCAGACTTCTCCACCTGTTCTCCCCTCTGCCACTTGCCCCTTTGCTCTAGCCATACGGACCTTTCACCCACCTTCTTCCCACCCCAGGATCTTTGCACTTGCTGTTTCCTCACTAGGGTCTTGGTACAGCAGGCACCCCTCAGCCCCACAGTTAGACCTCATCATTGAGACTAAAAGCACCCCCCTGATGTCCTATCTCTGGATCTTTTGCCTTCTCAGGCATAAGGAACCCATTTGCTATGTCCCCTGCTGTGTCCCATGGCACCATTGAGGACCCAGCACAGCTGACGGATTTGCACTTGGCTGTACTGTTTTTACCACAGTCATGAAGTCTGGCCTCAGGACAAGCTCTCTGGTCCCCCAGGCATCCTCTCTGCTGGCCTCTGAAAGCTGGAGTCTAAACCCCAGCACAGATGCTCTGTGGACGCCTGCTCCGGGGAACACCTGGGGCCCTTTCACAGCTAGTGTCTGCTTTACAGCTCAAGTCATGTGAGGTGAGTTTGGGGTCTCACCTGAACCATCCCCCTCCTACACTCTGCTTCGAGCATCGCCTACAGTGTCCTCACCTACAGTGTACCCTAGTTCCCTTGGCCATGACAAGGTTGTGGGCTCACCTCAGTAGGGAGCTGTAGGCAAAATCGAGGAGGCCTGTCTCCTGCCAGCCACCGGCTGCCTCTGTAGAGTCACCCAGCAGTACTGTCCGGAGGTTGGTGAACATGGCTTCTGTGAGCGCCTGCAGGTCTCTGTGCATCAGCATCCTGAGACCAGAAACAGAAGTTAGCTACTCGCCCCTTAATGTACTCAGAAAAAAAGACCATGTCAAAGGTATGACAGTCGCTACCAAGACACTTACAGTGGAGAAACTCAGGCTTGAAGGGCAGCATCATGATAAGGCCACACAGCCAGTGAGGGGTACAACTGGGGCTGAACCCTAGTCGGCCCCACTCCATGTTATGAGCTCTTGGCCAGGGCAGTCTGTCCTTGCCTGGTGCACAAACGTGGACAAGGGACCCATGGGCTTCCCCCAGGCTTCTGGACAAGGAGGGCCTAGGAAGGACCTAGCCAGCTCCTTCTCTGTGGGCTGCAGCTACAACAATTTCAGATGAGAAAAAGAAAGACCTGGTCTCCTCGTGTGGACCTGAGTGACACAGTCTAGAGGAACATGTGGCAAGAATGAGGGGTATATTGGGGGCCACCTTCATGCCGAGCACAGTCTGGGGAGCTGCTGCTCAGAGCCAAGGGTGAGAGGTGCTCTGTCTACATTAAAGCTCCATCTAAGCCACAATTGCCAGTGAGTGCCTCGAGGAGTGTCTAGGACGGTGCCACCTGTGGAACCTAGTGGTGGCAACAGGACCAGTGATTCCAATGCGTTTGCTTTTTAACCAACTCTCCTGAACAGTGGCTTCAGGGATGTACTGGCTAGTCTTATGTCAACTTGACACAGGCTAGTGTTATTTGAGAGGAGGGAATCTCAATTGAGAAAATGCCTCCATAAGATCTGGCTGTAGGCAAGTCTATAGGATATTTTCTTAATTAGTGATTGATGGGGGAGGGCCCATCCCATTGTGGTGGGGCCATCCATGGGCTGGTGGTCCTGGGTTCTATAAGAAAACAGGTTTGGAGAGCAAGCCAGTAAGCAGCACCTCTCCATCAACCCGTCTCCAGGTTCTTGCCCGGTTTGAGTTCCTGTCCTAACTTCCCTCAGTGATGAACTATGATATGGAGACTATGATATGGAAATGTAAGCCAAATAAACCCTTTCCTCTCCCAAGCTGCTTTGGTCATGGTGTTTCAACACACCAATAGAAACCATGACTAAGACAAGGGCCAAACACAACCCACCTGGGATGTGGGGTTGCAGCCCCAGCCCAGGCCCACCCACAGGCCTGTCTCTGTACTCACGGCTTCATCTTGGCCTTCTCCTCGCTGGGGTTAAAATTTGGAAGCTGCAGATCAAAAATCCTCTCCATGAGGAAGATGGCGTAGGGGTGGAAGTCCAGCCGTGTACGTGGCTCCCACACCACCGTATCATAGGAGTGAGGGTCCAGGAGGACAGTGACATATCTGCCACCCACCAGCACCTGTAGGAGGGGTGGGTGGATGGGAAGGAGGGCAGCGCCCTGCATTCAGCCATCTGTAGGCAAGCACTGGCCCAACGGGCACGGGACAGCAGCATTGTTGATTATCCCATCAATTCTGTGAGCTAGGGACTGCCACTCACCCATCTAGGCTGGGCGAAAGGACACCACGCCCAAGGTCTCCATGTTGGAAAGTAGCAGGGCTAAGACCACCCAAAGCCTTCTAAAATCAAAGGCTGTATCCAGGCCCATAATCACGTCTACTCAAGAAGCTGAGGCAGGAGGATCCCAAGTTCAAGGTCTGTCTGGATTAGAGTGAGTTCAAGGCCAACCCAGGCAATAGTAAGACCCTGCTCCAAATGAAGACAGAGATGGGGCTGGGGTATGGAAATGAAAAATGGTATGGTATCTGCCTAGCATGCAAGAGGTCCTGAGTTCAGGCCACAGTACCACAGAACGGGGAGGGGTGGGGGGATGGATGGACATTACTGGGTAAATGCTAGCAGACTAACTGAGGATAGATAGTGAGTAGATGAACGGAAAGGTGGGTAAGTGGGCGGGAAAATGCTAGTGACTGGGTGGGTACATAAATAGAGGAAGGAGAAATAAACGGAAGAAAATGAATGGGTAGAGGAAGACAGGAAGGAAAGATAGAGGATGTTATGTTGAGAGTGTCAGGCGGAGGACAGGACAGATCAATTAATTTGTTAGGTGGATGGATGCATGTTAGAATGTTGGGGATATGGGTGACAAGATGCTAAGTAGATCAAACAAAGGCTTGAAAGATGAATGCTGGAGGGCCAAGAGCTGGACACATTCGAGAATGAGGGTGCTTGAAGGAGCTGAAAAGACAGACAGATAATGAATGAGTGGATGGGTGGTGGGTAGATGGATGGATGGATGGATGGATGGATGCATGGATGTATGGGTGGATGGATGCATGGGTGGATGGATGCGTGGATGGATGGATGGATGGATGGGTGGATGGGTGGGTGGGTGGAATGCTGGGTGGGTAAGTGGGTGGCTGCATGGATAGGTGGATGAGTGAACAGGTAGGTGGATGGATAGTTGGGTGGGTGGATAGGTAGGTGAGTGGATGGATGGATAAAATACAAAGTGCATTGCAGAGAGTTGAGCAGAATCAGGTGCTGAATGGATAGACAGTGAGCACTGGGCAGGGTGTGGTTGATGGAGATAAATGGAGGGAAATCAGTGGAAATGGAATCTAGAGATGGAAACTGGGTGGATGCTGGTGAATGAGTGGAAGAATGCTGGATGAATTTTGATAGGTAAACAGTGGCTGGAGAATGGCTAAGAGCACTGGTTAACCTTCCAGAGGATCTGAGCTTTCAGCTCCCAGCACCCACATGGTGTAACTCCAGCTCCAGGGGATCTGACAGTTTTCTCTCTGGCCTTTGCAGTCACTAGAACAGATGTCATAAACACACACACACACACACACACACACACACACACACACACACACACACACACACACACACACAAAGAGAGAGGTATATATAAATAAAAATTAATCTTAAAAAGATAGGATAGATAGATGGATAGATAAGAGATGACAGACAGACATACTGAGTATACAGAAAGACAGGTGGATAAGTGGAAGTGTGGAAATGTAATATTTAATCTTAATTCCCAATCTGATTGCATTGAGAATCACCTTAAATATGTAAGCCCTGGGTGTGCCTGTTTCCAGACACCCTTAGAGCACAGTGCTCTGCTGGTGAGTGATACATGCTATGTACAGTTGGACAGACAGACAGACAGTCAGCCTCCCTGGATGGGTAACAGATGGCTGGATCAGTGCATGGGTAGATGTTGAAGGAGTTGGTGGCCCCAGTGATGAGCCAGTCACTCACCCTTCCCTCCTAGAGATACGATACTCACAGTAAATATGTCACCATGCTTCTCCTTCATCCTGGTCAGGAAGCTGGCAGCATCTCTCCCAAACTCCAAGGCATGGCCCAGCCAGGGGATGCTGCCCAGGTCCAAGGGAGGCTCGCCAGGTCGCCTGCAGAAACAACAGCACTTAGCACCATGTGATAAAGCAAGAGAGGGGCCAGAGAGTAGAGGCCATGGGGAAGTCAGAGGAGGCACTGAACAGACAACTGGAGGTCTTTCTCCTGAGAGAAAAGATTTCCAGCAAGAAGAACAGCAAGAATAAAGGCCCTGGGATTGGTGCTATGGGCACAAAGAACCATATGGGGGTGGGTGTAGGTGGGCCAACAGAGTAAGGACAAGCATGTAGCCAGAGCCAGAGAGGTTCTGGATGAGACCCTATGGACTGTGGCTTTGTCTCTGAGTGGGTGGGGTCCTGAGAGGGTCTGCACTGAGGATGGCTGGTGCAGCCAAGTTCTATAGACCCATGAGCCTCTGAATAGAGAATAAACACAGGGTAAGGGTGGAGCCTGGGGGCCAGGCAGGGTCTACTGCATAGGTGACTCCCTGTGGAAGGAAGCTTCCAGAACCCAGCAGAAGGGCAGAGTTCTCTGAGCCGGTCTGGGCTTGGGTCATCTCACATTGCCCCTCCTGCCCACAGGAAGAGAGCAGTATCCGTGACAAGCTGACAAGGACACAAGCTTCATTACTCCCCTCTGTGGATCCCAACCTGGCAGCCCTCTATGTATGGCCTGGGGGAAGGCAAAGATGCAGGCTGCCACACCTTCTCACAAGGTTATGTCTGTACTATTCAAGGTCAGGGTTCCCTGGGAAAGGAACAATCTAAGGTATTTGCAGGATCCTACCACAACCCATGGTGGCCACACTGCGTTTGACCCCTCCTTGGCAGGTGTGTGTGTGTGTGTGTGTGTGTGTGTGTATAGTGGCTGAGCAGTCCAGCACGGATGCTGGTAATTGTACCAGGCCTTCTGAAAGAACAGCAAGCACTGTAACAGGTAAGCCATCTCTCCAGCCCCAAGGAACAGACTTCAAAACAAGCTTTCTTTATAATGGGTCAGTCCTGATGGGGAAATGGGGCTTCTCCAGGCAAAGAGATCCAAATCAGGAAAGGAATATAAGGGTCAGTCTCTGTGGATGGATTCCCTTAAAAAGCAAAAGACACTATGCAGACAGTCCACGTGGAGGACAGAGACTCCTGAGTCCCTGTCTGCACAGTGTCTTGAAATACTACAATAACTAACTACCACATAGACTCATAGTGCCTGTGCTCAGCTTCTATAGGAAGTTAAATCTCATCTGCCAACTCCAATGGGAGGAACTGTGAGCTGAGGAAGCCTCTGGGAGCTCCCTGTCTCAGCCGGAGAGTCATCAGAACCACAGGAGTGCAGTGAATGAGTGAGTGAATGAATAAGTGAGTGGCCAGTGTATGATTGAATAGCTGACAGTGAATGAAAGTGAAGAAATGAGTGGCTGAGTGAGTGAATAAGTGAGTGACAAGTGTATGAATAGAAAAATGAGTGAGTGAAGAAATGAGTGAATGAATAAAGGATTAACTGAGTACATAAATGACTGACTGAATGAATGAGTGAGTGACCAATGTATGAATGAATAACTGACAGTGACTTAGCCAGTGAATGAAAGCCAATGAATGAATGAATGAGTGAATCGTCATAACTCTCCTCTCACGGTTCATTCACTCACTCACCAAACAATAACTACAAGGCAGACATTAACCTGGATACTGGAGATAGAGCAGAGAACAGGACAGATGGCCCCAAGCCCATTAGGGAGTGAACAAGAGAGACACAGTTCAGCCACAGAGAACAGCCTAGTTTAAAAATGCGTGACCTGAAGCCGAGGCAGTGGTGGCACACACCTTTAGTCCCAGCACTCAGGAGGCAGAGGCAGGCAGACCTCTGTGAGTTCAAGGCCAACCAGCCTGGTCAGGATCCAAAACTACACAGAGAAACCCTGTCTTGAAAAAAAAGAGCCAGACAGACATGGTGTCCAGGCCTGGAATCCCAGCGTTCAAAAGACTGAGGCAGGAGAATCATGAGTTTGAGATCAGCTTTGATGAAGACTCTGTTTCAAAAACTAACAACTACTAAAATGTGCAAAGGATTTGAATGGGGTTTTCCCCAAAGAAGACACCAAATGACCCAGCTGGGCACTAGGCAAACACAATCATAGGGCAGTATTCTGTACCCACTCTAATGGGTGCAGCTTTTTTTTTTTTTTAAGTTTAAAGGAAAACAAGGGTTTGCAAGGATGTGTAGAAACTGGAACACACTAGGTGGTGTTGGTGCACCCCTTTAATCCCAGCACTCAGGAGGCAGAGGCAGGTGGATCTCTGTGAGTTGGAGGTCAGCCTGGTCTACAGAGTGAGTTCCAGGACAGTCAGAGCTATACAGAGAAATCCTGTCTTGAAAAAAACAAAAATAAATAAGTAATAAGAAATTGGAACACAGAGATGTACATGGTTGCAGCTGTTTTAGAAACTGGAAGTTCCTTAATGGTTAAGCATACTACACGATGAAGCGATTTATCCCTGAGAAATAGAAACATGTTCGCACATAAGCAGGCACACTGCCGCTCACAGCAGCATTGCTCATGACAGTCACGGAGCAGAAACAACAAATGCAGTATGCCCATGCTGCGGAATATTATTCAGCCTTGAAGAAAGAACGAAGCAGTGATGAACCTTATAGACACAGTGCTAAGTAGAAGCCAGACCCAAGAGTCGGGAGAGCCACTAGGGTGAGCATAGATGAGAGGTAGCCTGGGGAACAAGGATGGAGAATGGCTGCCAACAGGGGTTCTGTTTGGGGAGAAATGTTCTGGAATTAGGGATGATGGCTGTCCAGTTCCCTGAGTTTACTAAAACCCTTGAGTTACAGTTTTAAGTGGTGGATTTTATGATATGTGAATTACATCCCATCAAATAACAAGCATAGAGCAATGACTAGGACAGTGGGAGATGGTGGGAAGATGATGAGGGAGGGAGGAAGCCCCCAGGGAAGGGTCTGAAGGGTGAGAAGACTCTGGAAGGAGGGAATGGCAAGTGCAAGGGCCCTGGGATGGCAGCATGCTGGGTGGGGTTTTCAAGAGCTACGAGGCCCACATGGAGAATGTAGAGATCCTGTGTAAGTGAGGACGTTAGAGATGACCTTGAAGACCTTGAGAGCCTGAAGGTCAAGGAGAGTCCGGCTTCTACGCCAAACATATTGAGGATCCCGTGGAGGGGTTGAAGCAGGAGTCTCTCGGTGATCTGTTTTTTATGTAGGGCAGCAGTAGAGAGGGGCGAGGAGGGAGGGTGGGGCCAGGAGATTCCGGTGACTGTCCAAGAGGGAAGGCCTGGCATCAGCTCCCCCACACCCAGAGTGAGGGCCTTTGGTTCACATCCGGCAATTCAGGAGAGCACAGGCCTCCCCCACCCTTCTCCCTCTGCCCTCCGCATTTCCATCAAGCTGTCCCTAAAGAGTGGGGGCCAGAGGTGTGCAGGACAGGATGGTCAACGCTGGACAAGACTGAAGCAGACCCAGAGGTGACTAGGGGGCACAGGAAGTGGCTTTCTCTCCAGCCCCTCAGCCTTCCCGCACTACACTACTTCTGAGTCACTGGCAAGCCTGGCCTCTCTGGGCTCAGAGGAGACCAGCCAGCATGTCTCCGCTGCCAAGGGTCTCTAAGAGCTGCCAGGGGCCGTCTTCCTTCCCAGTCGCTTTGAAGCCCCAGGTTAGGAGACTCTCCCGTCACGCAAAGGAACAGGTCAGTAGCCAGTGTGCACCTGCCCCTACCAGCCCAGGCCCAAGCCTGGAATCAAGACCCAGAGAAGTAGGTTGTGCAAGGGAGACCGGAAGGGCCAGTGGCCACCACCCAGACTTGGACACCGTGCTTCTGACTTCAAATCCCAGCTGTACTTCCTGCCAGCTTATGACTTAGCTGTTCTCTGCCTCATTTTCCTGGTCTATAAAATGGGAAGAGCTGCCTTGTGAATAACTGTCCATCTGATGAGGGTGGACGGGGTGTCTAGGAGATCACCTGACACCTGGCAGCCAGGAGCAACTGGGAGAAGGACCCAGAAGCTGCCTGAGTGTCCTTTACTGAGCAATGGCTCCACTTGAGCTACCGCCCACAACACTGGTCAGTGTTGCCTTGCTGGGAAGTAGCAGCTGGTGTTCAGAGCCCAGACCTTAGTGGTTCCTCCCCTGACACTTGGTGGCTCCTCCCACAACATGGAGAAACCCCATGGGAGCACTGGGTTTCCATGTGGTACCCCCACTTTACAGATGAGGAAATTGCTACCTATGATTGTCCCTGGGCCATCTTTGGGGCCAGAGGGGCTTCTTTGTGCAGGCTGTACCCTACAGTGGCGATGGTGCAATGACCAGGTATTATTTCTGGCCATGCCCTTCTTCCCACAGAGAAACCCAAGAAGGCACAGACAAAGGCAGGAAGCTGGAGCCTGGGCTCCCAGCCCCTCAGGCAGCCAGCTGCTCCCCTGCACTGGACCCCAAGCCAATCCAAGCCCAGGCCACATTCCAGAGTGACTCAGCCTGTGGACAGCTGGGGCTAAGGAGGTTCTATTTCAGAGCTTGTGGTCTGGTCTCCCAAGGCTAATTGACACTCTCACTCTTTTGAGGCGCTGCCAGGCCAGAAGTTGGGGGAGGGAAGTACTTGAGGCTTGGCCCTCCCCTCCTGGATTCCACGTTCAGATACCAAGATGTCCCTTTGGTCTCTCCAAGATTGTTGATCCCACCAGGTAGGGACCTCTAGACTCTGATGGGTCCTCACTCATAGACCCCAGAGGCAGCTCTGCCACAGCCTTTGTGAACCAGGGAAGAGAGCCTGTGGTGGCTGTCACTCCCACTAGGTTGACCCCAGCTTGAGGATGGTGTCTTCACTGGGTGGAATATTCCAAGAGAGTAGGACACCTAGCGTTCACTCAAACCCTGGAAACCGTACCTGGAACACAGTTACCAAGAGGGTCAAGAAATCAAGGCAGGTAAAGTGCCTGGCATGGGGTCTGGGGTCTGGGATGCCCAGCTAAGAGGCTGGCTGGATTGGCCGTGCAATGCTGGTAGGCTGCCCAACCTCTCTGTGCAAGCAGAGCAGGAACCCTGGGAGAATTTTCTGGGACATGGAACAGGGCTCAGTTTGTCTCTGCTGGTTGGGGAAACTTTCTCTTTAACCTGCTTAGCCCAGCCTTCCTCCAGAGTGCACCCACAGGCCTCCAGAGATTCTTATATGCCACTAACACGGGTTCTTCTAAAACTATTCCATGTTGCTTCACTGCCTGTTAGAAGAAGCAGGCGGCAGCTGAACGGGCTGTGGCTCCGTAGGTAGAATGCTTGCCAAGCATGCGTGAAGCCCTGGAATCACCCTCAGCATGAATAAACTGGGTGTGGTTGTAAACCCTGGGCACCCCAGCACACAGGAGGTGGGACGGGAGGATCAGGAGTTCAAGGTCATACTCAAAGCCAGCCTGAGATACATGAGACTCTGTGTCGAAAAATAAAAGAGAAAGAGGGTTGTCAGGTCATCAACATCCCCCCAAAAAGCCAAACATAGCTGCTTTTGGAGCTCCAGGCTCAGTGAAAGACTGACTCAAAAAATAAGGTAGAGAGCAATTGAGGACAATACCACGCGTCTACCTCTGGCCTCCTTCACACACGGGAGCACAGCACACACACAAACATGTACACACAAGAAGGGGCCGGTGAGATGGCCAGTGGGTAAAGTCGCTTGCCAAGCCTGGCAACCCGAATTCACTGTCCAGAACCTGTAAGGGGGAGGTGAGAACCAACTCCCTCAAGTTGCCCTCTGACCTCCACACATGGGCCATAGCACGAGTTCCCACACACATGCACGCACAAGCATAAATAAATACATGCAAACAAACCCTCAGAGAAAGCCTTGCTACCAAGCGCACAGCCTCCTCAAGGCAGGTTCTTAGTTTGGACTCTGCTTTTGAAGTAGACAGGGAGTCAAATTACTTGTTACACATGGCTCCCCGCAACACAGCAGAGGACCCTGTGGTGAGCAGACCAGCTGGGAACTGGAGTGGCAACAGCAGGAGGCAGGGGCTGTGGTGAGATTTAGAGAGAGCTAGACCACCAAATCCAGGAAAGTGTGGCTGTGTTTTCCCATTTCTACAAGAAGATGGAAGCCTGGATTTTTGTACGTGAAGCCCTTCAGGCACCCCCATCCCACCCCCATCCCACCCCCACTGGGTACCGGGAGGAACTAACCTTACAGTTGGACCACTTAGTAACCTCTGTTTTATACCTGTTAAAACGACATCCATTTCTGCATAGTAATCCTGCCTCCTGCCCTGCCCAGGCCACACCTTCCTCAGTTAGGACCCCTCTAATCCCTCAGCCAAGGAACCCACCCATGAGCCATCTTTCAAGGCTCCTCACAACAGCCAGCCCATAGCCCTCTAGTAAGCAACTAGGGATGGAGCACTCAAGTGCCTCCGCAAGCTACTTCTGAGTAACAACGGGGAAACTGAGGCCCGGAAAGCAGAAAGAATATTGCTGGTAACTGCTTGGCAAGTGATCTGACTAAATGGGCCCACGTAGGAGATTCCTAACTCCACCTTCCCAGTGCTCTGCCCCAGCTGTCTACACTGCCCCCAGAGAGAATAGTCACAGACATTAAACAAGGCGTTAAAGTCTTACAGTTACAGAAATCTGCATCTGGACGGAAGCGTAAACTAGTGAGATTGTTTTTCACTCGGACAGGATCCTGGAATTAAGATCCTCCCTTTCTGATACATGTTCTGGAACATTTGAGAGAAAAACATAACATCTGTAATATTTTAAACAAATATGGGGTGGAAGGGGTTCTTGGGTCATTCATCTTAGGCATAGTTGAATCTTCTATGCGTACAAGGTTTATGACATTTAACATGGTGTGGAGATCCGGGGACTCACACGGGGCCTGAGAGAACCCCAGTTCACTTCTGTTGTCTTTCCAATGACAGAGCTTTGCTTATCTATACTTGAAGGAACATCACAAAAGATGTGAAAACATAAGAGTCCCAGGAAATAGGTGGTTTTGAATTGTCTTTGTCCTCAATACTAATTGGGACTCTCAGACCAAGGACAGTCTTAGGTAACTGGCACGGAATCACACCCTACCTAATTATTGTAATTGTGACCTGCTTCCTTAACGCTGTGTAGTAAGCCTCTTTTTCTGAAAACAATGTTCTTATTTAAAAACAAAATTGAAGGTTTGTGTTTTTTTGTTTTTTGTTTTTTGTTTTTTTTTTTTTTTTGTAAATGCTGGAGGGCAGACAGAGTCAGTCACCCACTGGCATAGTCTAGTTTTGCTGGGACAAGTAGGAACCTGGGGAATTGCAGGACAGATATGGCACGTACTTTCTGTGCAGCCAGACAAACCTCAGTGGTGCGATGGGGTGGTAGAAGTCACCCCCAGGTTTGGTCAGGAGAAAGGAATGGAGCAGGGTGGAGGAGAGCCTCTCGTATTTCCACCCAAACGTTGGGGCCGGCCCACAAACTTGTCTTCCAACATTTGCCTATCTTTTCCTTCCATGGGATTGTTTGGTTCACAGCCGTGGATCTTATCATCTGGGATTTTTGAGTGGTCAGATCAGCGAAGCAGCGTAAGGAAAAGGAAAGGACTCATCGTTCCAGGGAATGGAAAATGCCTGTAGCCCGGAGTCTTAGCCAGCGCAGAGATTGAGCAAGTTATGTTTCCTCCTCTGCGAAGAAGGTAACCAAGGCTGGAGAGATGGCTCAGCAGTCCAGAGCACTGGCTACTCTTCCAGAAGACCCGGAATCCATTCCCGGCACCCACATTTAATGGCTCACATCATCTGTAACTCTAGTTCCAGGGGATCTGATGTCATCTTCTGAGCACGGCATACATATGGTTTGCAAACATACTTTGAGTTCAATGTATAAAAAACTCACATGCATAAAATTAAAAAAATATTTTAATGGGAATAACCAGAGTGTTTTTAGGCAAGTGAGAAGGGTCCTACTGTCACCCCAAGAGGCCAGGATCGCCCATACCCACGTGTCCCCAAACCTTCTCAATTACTTCCCCAGGTGCCCAGTTGAGGAATGTTTTTGGTTTTGTTTTTCTATAAAAAGTTGGCTAGCCCACCGAGTACCAATATTCCATTAATCTCCCCCACCTTGTAAAACTTCTACGGAAATCTTTTCATCTCCCCTGGGTGAGACTACGTCATTCCCAGAACTCAAAGACCTGGACCAGCTGAGCCCATCCCACCATTCCCTCCTCTCCTTTGCATGGATTCTTTGAAAAGCACACAACTGTGAAAGACTAAAAGGCTGGACCCCAGTCACGACTCACACTAAAAGAGCCACTAAGAGCCTGGCCCTGGCATGCTCGGTAGCCCCGGTTTAGGTCATGGCTCACACTTTTTACAAAAAAGAAATTCCCTTGCCTAGTTACTGTCACACTCTTGGTGTGTTTCTTTGTTTGACATCAAGAGTATTTTCTTCCAACAATTTTAAGGTTCATCATCCCAGATTTCAAATCTGCCTGGGAAGTTTGATTATTTTCCCTTGGGGGAGACACATATCGTGGCCCATTGCTGGGACTCACAGGGTCTCGGGCAAATGACACTCTTTCAGATCAGTAACAATATCAGAGTAGAAAGTTTCTCAGCAATTCAGGGAAGGGCCCAGGAAAAATATTACAGCGAATGGACTCTGTATTTTGGTACAAGAATGGGGGCTTGATCTTTAAGGATTGGAATGTAAAATAAGCAGGCCAAGACAAAAGAAAAAGAAAGGAAATAGATTTCCCCAGATGGGGAACCAAGTCCTCTGGCCAGCCCAGAGGTTCCCATTCAACATTCTCTTCCTTGCTCCCAGTAAAGGGGAGCCTGAACAATGCAAGGACCTCAAAATTCTTAGGTGCAACTTCCTATCTCCCCTTTCTGGATATGGGATTCTCTCGTCTTTCCCTTTCCAAGCAGTTCCCTCAGAGAACCCGGGAGACTTTGGATCAGGTTTGGGGGATGGAGAAGCGACACCCATCTACTTCCGTGTGGTTAGGTCCCAGGCAGCTGCACCACCTGTGGCTCCCAGTGTTTTAAAGCAGAATTAACTATTTTAACAAGTTGGTTCCTCAAGGACTTAAATCCCTACCAGTGCTGGCTGGAGAGACGGTTCAGTGGTTAGAACACTTGTTGCTTTTTTCAAAGGACCCAGGTTTAGTTCCCAGCACCCACATGGTGGCTCCCAACCACCTGTAACTCTAGCTCCAGGGGCTCTGATGCTCTCTTCTGGCGTCTGTAGGCACCAGGCACATACATGGTATATAGATATGCATTTGGGGAAAACACACATACACATAAAATAAAAATTAAAAAGAAAAAAGAATCCCTACCAGTGTAAAGAAGGTCACAGAGCAGTCCCGGGCCATACCATGCTCAAATGTGATAGACTGACACCAAGGTCACCTTTTCCAGCCCAGTTTCCTTATGGGCTTCCAGAGAAACGGGGCCACTACAGGCACTGGGCACACATCCCTTTTGTTCTATTTCCTTCATGGACACCCAGCCCAGCAACAGCCTGTACCTAGGAATCCAGGGGACATCTAACCATCTAGATGCTATTGTTTTACTCCAGTATAATTTGTGGTAAGACACAGTCCTGCCTTGGGTCGGGACCACGGAACTCCTTCCTCTGTTTCTTCAGTTTGCCCACACACCTGAGGGTAACACCTGCGGCTCTGTCCTAATGCTAATCTGACTCAGATGCTCATCTGAAAAAAAAGGGGGGTGACAGTCCACGCTGAGCCTATGAACTGCATGGATCCCACAAGAACTTGAGTCTCGATGTGGGTGGCCCATTTCATTATAGAGCTGAGCCCATAGTAAACAAAAAGTAATCCCGAGGCTTGTTGCCATCTTGACTGGTGACAACATCAAGATAGTGACGGCCATGAACCAGCCACATGGCATGAGCCAACATGGCAGCACCCTTAAACTTCCTGGTACCACTGAGTCCTCAGAGGGTCACTGCACTCCTAGAACCTTCCCATACGGCAGGCATCGGTCCCAGGTCCCAGTCCCTCTCTGGCTTTGGTTCTTCCCCTTGCTGGATGTCTAATGTGGTCACAGAAATGGGAGCTCCAGAGGAAATGCCAACTCTGGCTCTATTGCCAGTGAGAAGGTCAACACATTTTTACGTAAAACCAAGGAAGTAATGCCAGTTCACCATGGTGGATTTTTTTTTTTTTAATGTTTGACATATTGGGTCTTTTTTGTTTGTTTTTTAAAAAAATTTTATTTATTTATTATGTATACAACATTCTGTTTCCATGTATATTTGCACACCAGAAGAGGGCACCAGATCTCATAACAGATGGTTGTGAGCCACCATGTGGTTGCTGGGAATTGAACTCAGGACCTCTGGAAGAGCAGTCAGTGCTCTTAACCTCTGAGCCATCTCTCCAGCCCCGA